GCAGGGGAGCACGGGACACCATGCAGAAGACGGTGGCCGCGTGGGAGACACAGTGGTCGTTTTCATGGTCTGAATTCCACAACACACCCATCGCTTACATACGCCGCCGTCTGGAGAGCTCCTCACAGAATCTCCCTCCTTTTAAGGCAGGTTTGCAAGAGCCTACATATATTTCTGAAGCTAAGTGGGAAGAAAAGGCATATGGGAGAATCCCAAAAGACACTTTCACGTGCTCCCTGCTACGCATTTCCCTGGCAGCACCGGGAAGAGGGTGTCCCACTCGGAGCCAAGGTCATTGCCAGGACAAGGCCAGTCTTGGCTAGAAGGGGGCACCGGTGCCCGGACATACAGGCGGACAGTGTGTCCAGGTGCTTTTCACGAGAGACTCAACCCAGCCAGCAGACACTTCACCTCCAACAGAAGGGGTGTCTTTTAAATCTTGATTTGGAAAGTTCAGTTCCTGGGCTGATCACATACAAAGTAATTCGGGGGGCGAATGAACCGCTGGGCCGCATTCAGGGAGGGGCGAGTGACTGATCGGAGGAGCCAGTGTGTATTTCTGAAGCTCGGGGCCCTGCTGCCAGGGCTTTATTTAAAACACGTCTCAGAATAGGCCAACGTGGGCGCCAGCGAGACCCGCCTGAGAAGGCTCTGGAAGGATCCCGTGCTTTCATGGCCAAGGCTGTGCATTTTTGGATGCGGGTTTCTGTTCAAAAGGCGTCACTGCGACCTGCAGGCCACGCTGGCTCGTGGCCACTGCCGATGCCACAGTGGCCAGGTTTTCTCCCCGCTTGGGAATCCAGAAACGGGCGCCCAGCTGAGCTGTGAGCATATTGAGAAATTTCTTCACCCTCTGAGTGAAAACGGTAGCAGTTGCTTCCATTGAGATATAAGACACTTTCGGTTGAAAGTAACCACGTACGCCCGGCTTTCAGCTGCATAGGCCATAAACGGGAGTATTGGCTTGAGCGACAGCCTGGGGGTTAAGGAGAGCAAGAGACATTCCTAGCACGTAATTTTCCTTTCCAGACATGTGACCTCTTGGTGTGAGGCATGTCACATGAATGACAGCAAATGTGATGCATGCTTACTCCTGGAGGAACATTTAGGAAGCCTCACGCTCTCTCCACGTGCCCGGCGACTGTGGAATGACGTGTTCATAGGGTGGTTCGGCCACCGGAGGACGGCTCTCCTGGACTGTGATCTAGACCCACAGCCGACTGTGAGTGAGAGATCAGCTCTGGCAAATTGGCAGAGATTGTAGTTGAGGATGAGTCCGTATTCTTGCCCAGCCTGGCTGGGACAGACAGTTTTGAGGGTGGGCTTAATCCAGTGACTCAACAGTGTCATCGTGGCAGAATGCCTGTTGGAGTTCCGGACTAAGTGCCACCACCCAGAAAGTCCCTCCCAATAGCCCCCCTTCCATGGCATTGGCACAAAATGGGTTGTACACTCATTCCTGAACCAGGCTTGTTGTCCTGGGGATGCCATAGGTGACGGTAAAGGGCCAACCCCTGGGCAGGACCCATTCTACTAACTGTGTTAGATTAATCAAAGCCAGCTCCTGGAGCTGGGCATGCGGAGGCCCTGAAGCATGCGGGAGACGGAGGGAAGGATAAAGGGAAGGTGAGGGGTGAGCCCGAGTCCCTCGCGGGGTGCGTGCCTGGTTATCGTTTAGTCCAAGGTCTTCCTGACTCCCCTGTAGCACATACTGATTTTTCTCAATATTCATGAAACAGCGAACTTCTGAGTTCACAGTACAGAATGGAACTAGAAAAACAAATGCTCTCAAGTCTGTTAAGAAAATGAGAAAAGCCCGGCCAGGCGTGGCTCAGCGGTTGAGCATCGGCCTAGGATCCAGGAGACCGCGGTTCGATTCCCGGTCAGGGCACAGGCCCAGGTTGTGAGTTCGATCCCTAGTTGGGGGCCTGCAGGAGGCAGTCGATCAACGACTCTCATCATTGATGTTTCTACCTCTCTCCCCCTCTCCCTGAAATCAATAAAGATATATTAAAAAAAAAAAAAATTGGGCCCTGCATGTTTTTGAAAGGGTGCCATATGATAAAGTCTTAACAGCGGTGCCCATTTTAAGGTACTGGTGATGTAAAGATAGGAAGGATAACAAACGAGAATTATTCATGTAGCACTGTTATACCCATTGAGTGCCTTGGCATAAAATGAAAGATACTTGTTTTTAGAATATTACCGTGAATACCTAGACACCAATAGGAATTTCTCAGTTTTAGTCCTGTAGGTTCTCTCTCTCTATGCCCTTCCTTTATCTGTAGTCTATCAAACTCTTCAGTGACTCCTTTGCTAGTGGTCTGTGTTCTGCAAGGATCTTGAATTGTACATGAACTCACATAGTAAGAGGTGTGGATGGTTCCAGGGTTGGTTCAACTGAAAATTCAAATGTAGACAAAACCGGATCCTGTCTCAGAAGCGGGACACTGGGCGAGTGCGTGTGTGTGGGCCTGTGTGTGTATAGAGTGGAAATCGTGCCATCATGGTGTTCAGATTCTATGGCCCAGGGTTGGATCTCATGCCCGTGGTCTGGCTGCAGTGGGGCAGTGAACACGTGGTATTTGTATCCTTTCTGGTAGAAGGTGGGCTCTGGGCAGAGGCAGAGAGCCCACCCTACAGCATTTTAATAGGAACCCCTCACTTCTAGGGGGGAAATTACAAGCAGGGGAGGGAAAGAGCANGGGGGGGGGGGCTGCCTTGCCAGACTTACCCTTCTGGGCAACACCAATGGGTCAGAGCTCCACGTCAGTGGGCAAAGTGATACGTTCCTTTTCAAATTGTCCCCTTCTGTACTCAATACCCTCTTTGGTCTCAAAGAACTCCTAATGTCCCCCAGATCTCGGTTCCCATAGGGCTTTTAGGATCACGCAGGCTCAGCGGAACAACCCGACCGCACCTTCCTGGCCAGGCACGTGCGGCTTCATGAGGTTGGGTGGCCGAACGTGCCAGTGGCCTTTGGAGGGCCTGCTTTACCTGTGGTGACTGTGGCCCCGGGAACGCTGGCACTCCCTCCCTTGCCTGGCTTGGCTCATTTTTGAGGTCACCACATTTAAATGTCTCAAGAATAGCAAGTGCTTAAAATATCAAGATCTCTTTTCCTTATATCTAAGGAAGGGAGGTGGGTGGCAGTGCTTCTCTCGGTGCGTCCTTAGGTGACGTGCACCATTTCCGTGGGATCCTGAGTCCCTTCTTGGCCGCCCAGCTGCTGCGTCTGATCAGGGCTGTCCTGACGTCGCCTTCACGTGCAGGTGCAGAGGGAGACAGACAGTGTGGGGGTGACAGCCCATGGGAGCATCTTCAGCGGGCACTTACCCCTATTACCTGCTTCAGCAACACTGTTTATTTTTTAGCCAGGGACGTGGGATGCAAGACGCGGAGGTCACGTGTGCCCTGGATGTCGCTCTCATTAGACTGATGGAAAAAACCACGATCACAAACTGGCCTCAGCACATGTCCCCAGCCTGGGACGCTCTCTGTGGAAGCTGTTGAGTTAGTGCATATGGGCCCTGACTCATCAGCAAGTCTGGGGGGGTGAAGGGGAGGCCACAGGTGTCCCCTCAGGGCCGCTGGGCGCAGAGCCATCCATGCACCATAGTCCGAAGCTGTCCCTGACACGGGCTTAGAACTCGAGAACATTTTCCAAATAGAGAAACAACTGCAGCCAGTGGAGGCCGCGCCCTCTCTCTGCTCTGGACACAGGATACGAGCAGAGGTCCTGGGATGGCTCCAGCCACATTGTCACCAAGAACGGGGCCAGCCTTGGGCCAGAACTGACCCCAGAAAGCCCAGGGCAGGGAGAAGGGGGAAGGCCCGGGTCTGAGACGCTGAGCTCAGCCACCCGAAGCCACCCTCTCTCCCGCTTTGCAGGCAGTGAGCCCTGCCGGGCGCGCTGGGCCCGGGGACGGCTCAGTCCTGAGGTCCTCCGCCCTGTCACGGCTGTTCTCCGGGACAGGCGGCCACGGGGGGCCTGCGTGGGGGGCACACCCGGCTCCCGGCGGGCCCCCAGGCGGCACTGAGCAGAGGGGGGGCTCTGAGGGGAAGCGTGCCTTGGATTTTTATCAGCTTCCCCTCTTTTTGTCTGTTTAGAGGCACAGGAATAACGACTCCGAAAAATGCCTAAAAATGCACATTTTAAGAAGCCTAGCCTGTTGGCAGGAGGAGTCCGGGGGCGCTGACGGCCAGGCGCAGGGAGCTGTGGTGACACTCAGTGTCACCGTGTCACAGCCCGCAGCCCACACGTCCATGTCACCAGCTGTTTCCTGCATGGCGTCTAAAAGGGGTCACACGTGGAAGGGGCCTGCGGTGCTCAGAGCCTGCTCTGCGAGGTCACGCGTTCACAATTTCACACAACGGTGGCGGCAGGACACGCTCCCTTTGCCAAGTGAAGGCCGTTTATCGCTGGTTAGGGCGCCGACAGGCCCGCAAGGCGATCGTCAGGGAAACGCCTGCGCAGAACCGAGCGCGGCAATGAGTGCCACGCGGCCGTTTTCCTTCAGGTCTCACTTTTTCCTGGGTGAAGCGGCGTCCCCACCCCCACAAGCTGTGCAGACCGGGGACAGGGCGTGGGGGGCCTGCTGCCGGGGGTGCATCCCGGCCCCAGTCACCTCCCCTCAGTGCGCTCGCCCGGGTCACCACGTGCACACACGGGGCGCGAGCCACGGTCACGCGTGCCCAACAAAACCAGTCCCACCGCGCTTGGACACAATAAAATCGAAACACGCTTTTCGAGGGTCGCTCTTCTCCAAACCTTTATATACTTTAAAGCTCTGGCTCTTCTCTTTCCATATATTCTAACTTAGAACTTTTAAAAAATAAACTTTTGGTTTTGGTACCTCTCGTTTCTGGGAAACCTATAAAATACATCTCACCAGGAAACCTCTTTCTGCGCAAATAATAAACATAAATAAGATCAACATCTGTGTTATAAAAAAAAAAAAAAGGCCATCTGAAGGTTTTCGCCGCCCCCGCGGCCAGCTGGAGCCCCGGACCCGGCTCCTAGAAGTAGTCGGTGGCCCGCCTGCCCACGCCACACAGGTCCCGGTCGGGCGGCGGGGGGCTGGGCAAGAACTCGGCCTCCCGCTTGTCCATCTGTAAACTATTCCGGGACAGCTGCAGGACGCTCCCCAGCCCGCTGACCAGCGACAGGGAGGAGATCCAGCTGAGTGAGCTGAGGTTGGGGAGACTGAGGATGGATGACAGAGGGGCTGTCCTGCTGGTGCCGGCGGGTTTCGCCCCGGGGTCCCCAGGACACGTTTCCAGAACAGCATCCCCGTGGGCAGAAGAGCCCGGGGCCTGGCTGCCCGATGGCTCCCTCAAGGGCACGCCCACGTCCACGGCGCCGGGCTCCTCGCTGGCCCCCGGGGAGCTGGGCGGCCGCGGGGTGCGCCAGGACACGTGCGAGGCGCAGTCCCGGGAGGCGGATCCCGAGGCCCCGATGCAATTCCGTTCCAACGGTTCGGGCCTCAGTTCTCCCGCGGGGCGTCCCTGAATGTCTTTGGGGGCGCTGAGCTTCTCGGGGGATCTCTTGGCCGACTGGCGAGCCAGCTGAAGCTGGGTGGGAAACAGGCTCCCCTGCAGCGCTTTGAAAAACAATCTGCAAAGAGCAGACACAACGCAGTCAGCCGCCGCCGGGGGGTCTGCCTTGGAGCTTTCGGGTTTGCACGGGGCAAGGACGCAGGCGCGAAAGATGTTCCCCGGGCTCCCGGAGGGCTCGGGGGCAGCGTCCCTGACACCCACCTGGGCAGCAACGCCGTGACGGGCGCGATGAGACAGGTCAAGTAAAACACGGGGTCGCCCGTCAGCGTCTGCATGGTCCAGTAAGGGTTGGAAGGAGGATAGCACGTGGCGCAGGAGCCGTTGTAGATGAAAGCCACCGTGAAGAACAAGAGGGTGCTGAAGCCACACGCCGTCCAGTTGAGCCAGGTCTGAGGGGAGGGGGGGAGAGAGAGAGAGAGAGAGAAAGGGCCATGGTTTCAATGAAAATGCGCCAGTCGCCACGAGTGGCTGTGATGTACGAAGGGCTCAGTGAAAACCGGGCTCTTCGCCCTGGCCGGTGTGGCCCAATGGTTAGAGCACTGGCCTGAGCACTGAAGGGCCACGAGTTCGATTTCTGGTCAAGGGCACATACCTAGGTTGCAGCTTTAGTCCCGCAAACTGGAGGCAACCAATCTGTCTCTGTCTCATTGATGTTTCTCTCTCCCTCCCACTCTCTAAAAAACAAATCAATGGAAAAATATCCAAAACAGGGCTCTCTGGTGCGGGTGGTGGGCGGAGGCCTGGGAACCTGTGGACCAGCCCGGACACAGGTGGGGACACGGAAGTCACGGGGAGAAGAGCAGGTGGGGAAGGAAGGAGCCAGGTGCTGCCCGGGAGTGCGGGGCGTGGGCTGGGGCAGGGGCTCAGGTGCCCACGGCCGGCCCCGGATCTATTTTGCTTCTTGGCACGGCGAGGCCGGCTTCGGGGCCCCGGTTGCTCAGAACCTTCTAGATCTCACGGGCCTGCCTGGAAGCGAGGGGGCCGGGCCCGCAGCTCTTACCCAGGTCTTGGTTTCAATACCCAAGTGCAGGAGGAAGGTGAGCAGGGCGATGGCCGTGATGGGCGTCCCCCAGGTAAACACGTCGGCTTCGGAGTCGTAGTAGGCCTGAAACGCAGCGGCGTCCTGAGCCCGCGGGTCGCGCCGGACGGAGCCGAGGGGCAAGCCGGCCGGGCGCCCGCTTCGCCCGCTTACCAGGTACGGGATGAAAAAGCAGACCAGGCTCTGGAAGGCGGCATCGGCCATGTTCCACCAGAAGGCGCGGGGCCGGTATTCCTGAGACACAGAAGCAAGAGCGGGTCGGGGAGGGACTCGCCTCTTCCCACGGGGCCATCGACGCTGGCCCAGGTCAAGCTCCCCGGGGGAGACGTGCTCATTCGGGACTTTTGCAGAGAGGTCCAGGGGGCTGGCGAGAAAACACTGCGCAGACGCCAACAAGAGCAGCTGCGCTGGCCCTGGCCGGTGTGGCTCAGTGGGCGCAGCGGCGGCCTGTGCGCCGAGGGGTCGCCGATGCCATTCCCGGCCAAGGGCATGTGCCTGGGTTGCAGGTTCGATCCCTGGCCCGGCTGGGGCGCATGCGGGAGGCGGCCAATCAATGCGTCTCTCTCACATCGACGTTTCTCTCGCTCTCTCCTCCCTCCCTGCCTTCCCCTCTCTAGAAAACTAGCAAGCGCTGTTTTCTGGGTCAACCTAAAAACAGACCCTTAGCGTAGGAAGAGCTAGGAATTCGGGGGGTCCTCCCCCGTGAGTTCTTCCAGTCGTCTTGCCTCAGGGTTTTGCCTCCCCGCGTTCCTTCCAAGTCACCTCTTAGCACTTGATCACTGATGTTTCCTAATGTTGTCATCGAAAAGCTGTCCGCCAAGGGCAAAATGACCCCGATGGGGACCCAGTGAGTCTTTGTGACCTGGGTGGCCCTGTGGACTTGACCCTGTGAGCTCCTGAGCCGGGAACGCAGAGCAGACGGGAGGAGCGTTTACCGAGCACTTGCGTGGAGGGGGCAGGCTGGGCCCTGCCTGCTGGAGGCCTCACTCCACAGGACAAACCCCTGCGTCTTAGTCCCACGGGGGGGAGATGAGGCCGGGCTGAGAACAGGAATCCCCCAAGGTGACTGGTGCGAGCAAACAAATTCTGAATTAGAGGCCACTGTGCGCCCAGCCGGGGGGGTTCCGTTGGTTAGAGTGTCCTGTGCAACGAAATGCTGCCAGTTTGATTCCTGGTCAGGGCACACGTCTGGGCTGCAGGTTCGATCCCTGGTCGGTCCAGGCACATACGGAAGGACGCCAATGTTTCTCTCATACATCAATGCTCCTCTCTCTCTCCCTCCCTCCCTCCAAGTCCTCAGGTGAGAATTAAAAAAAAATAATAATAAAAAACAGAGACTACTGAACACACACAGTAACTCGGCACCTCGAAGGCTCCCTCTGACGGCTGGATCTGGGCAGCTGGCCATCAGCGCGTCAATCCACACGCCGCATTTACATCTATTTACATCTGTTTGCATTCGCCTGTTCTGTCAACAGCTTCCCTACGCATTCATCTTCCCGTTAATTCCTGAGCAAAATAACTCACATTTCTGGGGGGTTGTTTTAGAAAAAAACCCCCAGCTCGGGCGGCTGTCACCGCGACCCTGACCTAGATGCCCAGTGGGGCTTCTGGAGACTCCGGTGTGGAGACAGTTCTGCCATCGCCACGCCCGTCCCCGCACTTAATGCAACGCACGGTCAAGTAGACAGAATTCGTCTTCTCCTCGCACCGTCAGGCTCTAAGACTTTTTTGTTCAGTACGTTTTTATTGATCTTTTAGAGAGAGGGGACCGGAGAGGGAGACGGGAATAGAAACATCGATGAAAGAGAAACAGTGATCGGCTGGGGGATCGAGCCTGCAACCCGGGCATGGGCCCCGACCGGGAATCGAACCGGTNAAACATCGATGAAAGAGAAACAGTGATCGGCTGCCTCCCGCACGCCCCCTACTGGGGGATCGAGCCTGCAACCCGGGCATGGGCCCCGACCGGGAATTGAACCGGCGACCTCTCGGTGCACAGACGATGCCCGACCCACTGAGCCGCACCGGCCAGGGCAGAGTCTAGAATTTGAAGAATTGGTCCCAGGGAGGCCCGGGGACGGGCCCTTTCCAGAGGTGAGTGGACGTGGGCGGGGGGGGAGCCTCACCTCCATGTTCTGGCCGCTCCTGTAGAGCTGCGGCCTGGCCAGCAGCACGTGGGCCGGCACGTCCTTGTCGAGCACCCCAGTCACGAGCTGGGGGAGCGACGAGAACAGCAGGTTAAAGAAGATCAGGTACCACTGGTCAATCATGGCGGACGCCGAGAAGCCGCAGTAGAACTGGAACCAGAACAGGAGGCCCACGAACATCTGGGATCAAGAAGGAAGAAACGGCGAGCGGTTCACGGGCGCCCCTGCGGGTTCCCGTCCAAGGGGTGCCGGGGTTTCTCCGCGTTTCACGGCAAAGGCTGGATTTACAGGCAGCAGTTTCCTCCCGGGGGCCCCGATCTCGTTGCCCTCGGTCTCTCCCTCCGCCTGGGCCTTTCTTGGGCTGACCCCTTGAGCCGAAAGGATGGGCCGCGGAGCCAGGAATTCCCAGGAGTGGCTCTAGAAGGAATGAGGTCTGAGACAGGAGAGCCACAGGTCATCAGTCGAAAACAAAACCAAGGCCTGGCCGGGTCTAGGGTTGCTCACATTTTAAGAGGACCAGGTGTTTATTTTTTAAAAATATGTTTAGCCCGGCCGGGTGTGGCTCAGCAGTTGAGCGTCGACCTAGGATCCAGGTAATAGGGGTTCGATTCCCGGTCAGGGCACAGGCCCAGGGTGCAGGCTCCTCGATCCCCAGCAGGGGGCGTGCAGGAGGCAGCCCATCGATGACTCTCATCATTGATGTTTCTCTCCCCCTCCCTCTCCTTTCCTCTCTCTGAAATCAATAAAGATATATTTAAAAAAAAATGTTTTTATTGATTTCAGAGAGAGGAAGGGAGAGGGAGAGAGAGAAACATCAATGATGGGAGAGAAACACCAATCGGCCGCCTCCTGCACGCCCCCTGCTGGGCATCCAGCCTGAAACCTGGGCATGTGCCCTGCCCGGGGAATGGAACCGTGACGTGACCGCCTGGTTCATGGGTCGATGCTCAACCGCTGAGCCACACGGGCCGGGCGAGCCTTCCTTTTGATGAGGAACGGCGGGCAATTACTGACTCCCACGGGGGAAGGACACACGCAGGCATGGTAGCCAAGGCGATACTGGCACCAGCACCCTATCCCTGACCGATCCCAGGTATCCACTGGGCACTTGGACGGCGGGTGACCTATAGGTATTGCCACTGGTCCTTACAGCTCCCTGAGTTTTGCCAGCAGGAGGTGAGGCCAACAGCCTCCTCAGGCCCATGCTCAGCAGAGCAGGAGTTGGGTGGGTTTCTTCCTACTACTGCTTGGCCACCGATCACCGGGGGCCTCAGTGCTCTTACATGGGGGGGGCATGGCAGTCTTGCAATGGACAAGCACTCACAGCCTGGCACGGGCCCTGAGCCCCTCTCTGCTTCAGTGTCCTCACCTGTGACCTGGGCACAGAGCGGGGGTCCTTCGCCATGGGGCCGTCGCGAGGACTATTGAGCTAACGCACTGACAGGGCCCACGAGCGCCCTGGCACACGGTAGGAGCCCACCCACACTTTCCGTGCTGCTGTTTAACAGCACAGTCATCTCCTTGGATTGTACATCAATTTGCCCCATTGAGAGAAAAGGAAATTGCCGGCCAAGATCTTCAATGACTTGAGGACGGTCATCGTGTGAGTCACAAACTGAACTCGTTCAACTCCCAGTGGGTCTTAGGCAGTCCCAGGAGGGAACATGGGGAAGGACGGTTCCTCGCTGGGCACCGCGGACGCTGGCTTAGGCTTTGGAGACGTGTCACTATCTGTCACCATCTCCCACTCTGACCTTGACTCAGCCCCTTAACGTCTCTGAGCTTCAGGTTCTTGACCAGACAATGGCCTGTTCTGAAGACCAGATAAAATGGTCTGTACTGATGCAGCGTCTAAGGACACATCCTCCAAGCCTTGTTCCCACCCACGTGTGAATGTGACTCCNTGTCACCCACCAGCACAGGCTCGGCCTCACGACTCATCAGTGAGTAAGGAGCCCCAAGAGAGGGAGGGGAAGGAGCACTGAGAGAATGGAGGGGTGACTTTTTCCCCCCTCCATTGGTACCAAACGCTTTCTTCCCAAGCCACTGTTGCTATGGAAACGTAGGAAGGCCAACTACTCCTGAACCTGATGAATTCCTCCCTGTGCGAGGGAACGCGGTTATCCCCGGACTTCTCAGGCAGATCAAGTGCTTGTTAACAGGGATCCTGCGTCTTACTCGGAAAAAAGACAGGGGCCCACCCCTTCTCCTCCCCATGCCTGCCCCCCGAGGGGACAGGGTCCTGGTGCCAGGCCGGGGTCTGTGCCCACTCCAGGTGGCCTCTCTGGCCCTCCTTTGCAACTGAGCTGCTGAATACCTTCTCCTCCGTCTGGGAAATTTTTATTTTTTTAAATTTATTTTTAAAAAATATATCTCTATTGATCTCAGAGAGAGGAAGGGGGGGGAGAGAGAGAGAGAGAGAAACATCCATGATGAGAGAGTCATTGATCGGCTGCCTAGCTCGCAACCGGGGCATGTGACCTGACCGGGAGTCGAACCCCAATCGCCTGGATCCTAGGTCGATGCTCAACCGCTGAGCTATGCCCGGTCGGGCGGAAATTTTTATTTTTTGTTAATCTTTGCCCGAGGACATTTTCTCAATTGATTTTTAGAGAGAGTGGAAGGGAGGGGAGAGAGACACACGTCGATTGGTTGCCGCCTGCATGCTCCCCAACTGAGGCCAGGGGATCGAACCGGCAACCCAGGTACATGCCCTTGACCGGGAATCAAACCTGAGACCCTCAGGTGCAGCGGCTGAGGCCCCAACCACTGAGCCACACCGGCCAGGGCCAGTCTGAGAAATTTTCATTAGCAATTACAGACAGCAGAGCTCAACGCTCATGCCTTCAGATTAAAACCACCACCACACCGCACACGCCAAGTCCACAGAAAGCCAACGACTTGCTCCGGATGGCACGATGAATGAGTGACAGACACCGGGCTGGGGCGCCACCCCTCCCGCCCCCCTCACCTTTGCTCAAAGCTCTGTTCACCCTTCTGGGAGCCAGGTGCAAGGCGAGGCCAGGACAGGGCAGCCTGCCTTGGACAGAGTCCCGGGCAGAACCTAATCTGATGAATTTCCCGAGACCCGCGGCGCCCAGCACCCACCGTGTTTTTGTAGAAGAAATAGAGCACCATGTTGGCAAGTCGGGAGTAACACCAGTGTCCGTGAACGATCAGCAGTCTCTCGAGGTAGCGGAACCGGGGCACCGCGAAGTCACTGGCCATCACTGCCTTGAGAGGGACAGGACGTCCGTTACTGGTGGCACCTCGCTCTGCCGAGTCTACCTCCCCCCCCAAATACAAGGCAGAACCCCCATGGAGAAACCCAGTTTTGAGCACAGCGTGGGTGACTACCACCCCTCTTTTATCTCCTTCAATGAAAGAAAAACTCTCTCTCAACAAGTACTCTAGTTCAGGGGTGTGAGTTGACGACTCGTTTAAGATTTTAAATATATGTCACGGATGGATTTTTAAAAGATTTTTTTAATTGATTTTTAGAGAAAGGAAGGGAGAGGGAGAGAAACAGCGATAGGCTTGCTTGTTGCAGGGCCCCTGCTGGGGATCGAGCCCGCACCCTGGGCACGTGCCCTGACCGGGAATCGAACCTGCGACCCTTTGGTGCCCAGGAGGACACTCAACCACTGAGCCAGCTAACGGGGCCGGACATGGGCCATCAAAATGACACCTTTCGTGCCCAGAATAGCTTGGAACCCACCATATAATAAATGGCTCATTAAAATCCTCATTATAAATCACCATATAATAAATGGCTCATTTAAATCCACTCATTGATGGATTTAAAAAAAAAAGTTTGCCTTTTCTTTCCTGCACTTTATTTATTTACTTATTTATTTTTAAATATATCTTTATTGATTTCAGAGAGAGGAAAGGAGAGGGGGAGGGAGACAGAAACATCAATGATGAGAGAGCCATTGATCGAGCCCGCAACCCGGGCATGTGCCCTGAGCGGGAATCAAACCCTGATCGCCTGGATCCTAGGTCGACGCTCAACCGCTGAGCCACGCCCGGCCGGGCCCCACAATTTCTTTAACAAGCCAAAACAAACAAAAATACGGGGATACACGCGGTCTCGGAGCTGTTCTCTGCCCTCCCATCCTTTGTCCATCAAAATCACGTTGGGATCTCAAACCATCGATGGACCACAGCGGCCCCTTCTGTAGGAATGAGACAGCCGGCTGGCCTGGGAGGTGCGTTTTGGGTCCTCCTTGGAGCCGCTGGTGAAAAGCAAGGCCGGGCCCCCTGGATATCACCGGGGCGAGTGGGGGACACCGGGTGTCCTCCGTGGACAGAAAGATGACTGGGGCGGGGGAGCTTGGCTTTGCTGCATTAAGTATCATTCTGCACACAGTTAGCTAACGGGGCCGGACACGGGCCATCAAAATGACACCTTTGGTGCCCAGAATAGCTTGGAACCCACCATATAATAAATGGCTCATTAAAATCCTCATTATAAATCACCATATAATAAATGGCTCATTTAAATCCACTCATTGATGGATTTAAAAAAAAAAGTTTGCCTTTTCTTTCCTGCACTTTATTTATTTACTTATTTATTTTTAAATATATCTTTATTGATTTCAGAGAGAGGAAAGGAGAGGGGGAGGGAGACAGAAACATCAATGATGAGAGAGCCATTGATCGAGCCCGCAACCCGGGCATGTGCCCTGAGCGGGAATCAAACCCTGATCGCCTGGATCCTAGGTCGACGCTCAACCGCTGAGCCACGCCCGGCCGGGCCCCACAATTTCTTTAACAAGCCAAAACAAACAAAAATACGGGGATACACGCGGTCTCGGAGCTGTTCTCTGCCCTCCCATCCTTTGTCCATCAAAATCACGTTGGGATCTCAAACCATCGATGGACCACAGCGGCCCCTTCTGTAGGAATGAGACAGCCGGCTGGCCTGGGAGGTGCGTTTTGGGTCCTCCTTGGAGCCGCTGGTGAAAAGCAAGGCCGGGCCCCCTGGATATCACCGGGGCGAGTGGGGGACACCGGGTGTCCTCCGTGGACAGAAAGATGACTGGGGCGGGGGAGCTTGGCTTTGCTGCATTAAGTATCATTCTGCACACAGTTAGCTAACGGGGCCGGACACGGGCCATCAAAATGACACCTTTGGTGCCCAGAATAGCTTGGAACCCACCATATAATAAAAGGCTCTATTTGGGGGGGAAAAAAATAAAAATTTAAAGAAAACGTCAGGACAAGATACACGTCTGCTCGTCTTCGGAGAGAAATTCCCCACAAATATGTACGTCTGTGTCGAAAACGAACTGATTTCCCTGCATTCAGCTGACACCCGGAAGAGCAGGGCAACGTCCTGTTGCGCTTCGGTGAAGGAGACGAATGTCATTCATTACACGGGACCGGAAAGCCTGAAGCCTGAGGGCGTTCGCTTTCTGGGTCACAAGTTAAGGACCCTTTTTTTGTTTTATTAATCTTACCCGTGGTTATTTTTCTCCATTGCTTTTCAGAGGGANAAAGCCTGAAGCCTGAGGGCGTTCGCTTTCTGGGTCACAAGTTAAGGACCCTTTTTTGTTTTATTAATCCTACCCGTGGTTATTTTTCTCCATTGCTTTTCAGAGGGAGGGGGATGGAGAGAGAGAGAGACATCGATGGGTGGCCTCCGGCATGGACCCCAAGCGGGGCCGGGGATCGAGCTTGCACCCCAGGTCCGTGCCCTTGACCGGGAATCGAACCCGCCTGCTCGGGCCAACACGCTAAGTGCTGAGCCGCACCCGCCGGGGCACAAGCTAAGGGTCTGCAAGCAAATACTATTTCTATACCCCTTCCCGCCACATATAGGAGGTTGACGGGCATCGAACGTTCTTTAATCCCTCCTTTACTCCATTACTTATTCCCTCAAAAAGTCACTTATTCAGCCCCCCTGTTGCCTGGAACAGACTCTAGGACACAGACACCAGCAGTCAGGGTCCCATTTCTCAACAGAGTCCTTCCAAACACTCCGCCGAAGGGACAACTGTCAGAAAAAGCCGAGAGGCCTACGAGGGAGACCCCAGGCTGTCTCTGAGGAACCAGCCCCAACCCTCGAGAACCACAGATAACCCTCTCCCGGGGGGTCCTGTCCGCCTCCCCAGCTTTCTGCCACCCCCCTGCTCCCGTCTCCAAATCCAGGCCCCAGACCCACTGCTGTCTCTGTGTCAGGGTGGTTTGTCCCAAATGCTCCCAGCTCGGGTGGATCCTCCTGCGAAATACTCAGCGTAGGAACTCGTGTTTCTCAGCCCGGACCGGGCATCTCGGTGGTCAGAGCTTCGTCCCAGTACGCCAAGGTTGCGAGTTCGATCCCCAGTCAGGGCACATACAAGAGTCAACCAATGACGTATAAATAAATGGAACAAAAAAAATCAATGTTTCTCTCTCTCTCTCTCTAAAAAAGAAAAGAGCCAGGCCGGGCGCGGCTCAGCGGTTGAGCGTTGACCTAGGATCCAGGCGAGCGGGGTTCGATTCCCGGTCAGGGCACAGGCCCGGGTTGTGGGCTCGGCCAATGACTCTCATGATTGATGTTTCTGTCTCTCTCTCCCTCTCCTTACCCCTCTCTGAGATCAATAAAGATATATTTAAAAAAAAAAATGTTTCTTGTGCTTCCCCAACGTGGAGAGGCAAGGAGGGGTCCCGCCTGCACCCCATTGCCAATGGAGGAAGAAAAATCCTACAAATAACACAGTGACCCAGCTGGGACCTTCCACCTGACTGTTCTTTTAATGCCAAGTGAGAAAAGGAATGGGCTGTGCATAGGCCTGGCCCACGCTGGTGCTAATAATACACAATTCCTGACTCGGTGCATCAGCGAATGAATGAGTCGGTGACAACTGGAGACCACGTCCTGCTCGTTAAAGCGAGAAACCTGCGCAGATGGTTCCCTGCTGTCTCCGCCAAGTTAAAAAATGTTGTGACTCCAAGTTGATCAAATGTAGGCAATTGTCGTAATCACTAAATGCAGAAGCAGTACATTTAAAAAAAAAAATTACCCGAGGATATGTTTTTATTGATTTTTTTAGAGAGAGAGAGAGAGAAACTGATCGGCTGCCTCTCGCATGTGCCCAGACCAGGAATTGAACTGGTGCTCAGTCAACTGAGCCACCCGGCCAGGGGGAGAAAAGCAGTCCTTTCTTTCTTTTTTTTTTAAAATATATCTTTATTGATTTCAGAGAGAGGAAAGGAGAGGGAGAAAGAGACAGAAACATCAATGATGAGAGAGTCATTGATCGAGCCTGCAACCCGGGCATGTGCCCTGATCAGGAATCGAACCCTGATCGCCTGGATCCTAGGTCGATGCTCAACCGCTGAGCCAGGCCCGGCCGGGCAAAAATCAGTCGTTTCCTAATGAACTCATTTGTTCAGCGTCTGGATCACGTGTTGGGGTGACACAGTGACCAAGGACAAGGGCAGGGATGACTTTTCATGAGTCAGGATGGCTACCTTCCCGTTTATAGAGCTACCAGGTTCAGCTACAGGGGGCCCGTTTCTCCAAAGGTCTCGCTCGTGTCAGGAACGGTCAATAGTGCCGCCCGAGGGTGAGGCAAAAACAGCCACAGAGGAGGCGGCGACTCACCTTCACTCTCAGCTCCACTATAAATGTGGAGTCACGGTCACCTTACCTCTTCCCATTGGCTCAGCATCAGCTGTGCTGACGGCCGACCCTCTAGCTCTGAGCCCAGGGGCGGCGACGGTGAGCCTCGAGGCCCCCTGGGTCCTTACCTGCATGCCCTCCTGGCCCGAGATGCCCACGCCCACGTCGGCCACCTGGATCATGCTGACATCATTGGCTCCGTCTCCTGAAACAGCACAGGCAGGAAGGGTCGTGTGAGTTGAGACGCACGGGATATCGAATCAGAGGGATGGGCCTCCGGGGGCCCCACCGGACCGCGTCCTGGGGAAGGATCATGGGAAGAGCGAAGGGAGGCCCTGGGAGAACGGGGTCAGGGGGTCGGAACCACCGCGGGCTGAGGTCCGGAGCTGCCGGCTGTGCCGAGAGACGTTTCAGAAAACGGGCTGCTGAGTCTTTTTTTTTTTAAAATATATCTTTATTGATTTCAGAGAGAGGAAGGGAGAGGGACAGAGAGAAACACCAATGATGAGAGAGTCATTGATCGGCTACAGCTCACAACCCGGGCCTGTGCCCTGACCGGGAATCGAACCCCGATCTCCTGGATCCTGGGTCGATGCTCAACCACTGGGCCACGCCGGCCGGGCATGGCTTTTTCTTTAGTATTAACTCTGCGTGACTGCCTCCTACACGGACAGAGCCCCACAGAGCCTGCAACGCGGAGCCTGGGCCAGTGAAAGATGCTCTCCTCCTTCAGCATCACTATTTCCCAACCCGGTGCGGCCTTTCTCGCACGGATGTCATCACATCAAGGCTATTCCAGGTCACACGTGCCCGGAATGAAGGAGGGTAAGTTCTGCCCAGAACACCACTGAGGTCCGTTTGCACGCACGACGCTCCGGGTCACCTCTGCGCCTCACGACGGTGCCGCAGAGGAGCCTTTTCATTCATTGAGTCAACTGCTGATGGAAAATGCTCAGCCACACGGGCCAGGCTGGGGCTCCTGAAACCCTCGGGGAAAGGCAAGCAGGGACTCGGCCGCTGTCACTCGCCGACAGGGACCATTTTCGGAACAGGACGCCAGAAGGGCCTAGACCACGGAGCGGTGACAGGTTTCAAATACGCAGACGGCACCGATGCACCAGGTCCTGCGACTCATCCCGCGGCCGCCGGACGCCTCTCTCCTGCGAGTTTTCTTTTCTTTATTGCTCGGGGCCCAACGCGGGCCGTGAGTCAGTATTTGTGGAACTGAAATTCTGTGAGGCCGTAACAATCTCTGTGGCTTTTCCCAGAACGCCCCAGTCGAAACGAGACGTGGCGGACAGCGACGCTCCGGGACTAACCTCGGGACACCGAGACCGGGTCACACGGACGCCTTCATCACGGTCCGAGAAATGAGCTCCGGTGGTCATCACGGGTCACGACTTTCTCTTTTGATTCTGTTTTTCTTTTCTGTTTAACCAGCCAAAGCTTCACCCCTGCAGCCCGGCACCGACCGGGCTGTGCAAACGTGGTTTATCATTCGCGCCCCGTAGCAGCCTTCCTAGGGGACACTGTCCTCATGCCGCCGAGGACAGGAGCTCAGAGGGGCGAGGTCGGTGCAGAGGGTGCAGAGCTCAGGGAAATCCGAAGGCCACTCCAGGCGCACGGGGACAAGGGTGGTCCTGAGACTGTCTCCCTTGGGAGGGGCCCATCGCCGGAGGGGCTGCCTGTCATCCCGGAGCCTGGACCAGGGAGCCACTCGGCAAGGTACCCACTGCTCAGGGCTGCGCCCAGCTCCCTCCCCTCCGCGGTTACCAAAGCCCTCAGGATGTGCAGGGGGGTCTCCATGACAGCCACGCTCAGGCCACCCCACTTTCTATACCGGCCTCAACTCTGTCCCTGGGGCAGCGAAGCAACCCCCACGTCACCACCAAGCACGGCTGCAAAAAAAATACTGTCATCATGACCGACTGGCGAGGATGCTTCATCTCAGAGCCAACGCTCACCCACGCGCGGGTTCTAGATGCAGGAAAACCAAACGGGTGCCTGGGGGCACGGGGTCGCCCCTTCCCCCGAGCGACCTGCGGTCCCGCCCGGTCCTCACCAGCAGGGAGCTGCCGAGTCCGAGCCTGGCTCAGGCGGGACCAGAGCCCGACGTGGGCGGGGATGGCCCCTGGGAGGAGGCAGGTGAGCACCAGGGAGCACGGGAGAGGAGCCTAGAAGGCTCTCCAGGCCGAACATGCAGGAAAAACCCTCATGGGTCCTTGGGAAATTACGTAAAAATTAAGCAAGTATTCGTGTCTTACGAGGAATTTGTTTAATTAGATGCTACAAAGTTCAGCTGACCAGAGGCAACGGGCATTCTGATCACGCCCTAGTCTCTGGGTCCTCCTGGCACGATGGTGCCCTGGCCCCCAGGCAGCTGGCAGAGCCCAGAGCCCCTGCAGAGACCTTCTTCCTGAGTTGCCTGGGCTAAGGCTGAGCAGGGCCTTAGCTGCAGCCAGGACTCCCTGGGACAGGCCGATGCTCATCGGTCTCCCGAAAAACAGCATAAGTCCATCTTCTTAAACCACCACCACTGTGTGACTGACCTACCACGTGGCTATAACCGTGGCCCCCATACTCGTGGCTTTCTAGCCTAAGCGTTCACTGGGGACACGTTACCGCTTCCTCTCACTGGGTGTGATTTTACAAAGAGAATAAAGGCCGGGGAAGCGCTTCCCCGTCTCACGGCGCGGCGTGGACCGGCAGGGAGCTCGGGAAGCGGTGAGAGGGGAGCAGGTGCGCGAGACCCGCGCTTACCTATGGCCAAGGTCATGGCCTTGAGCTTGCTCCTGACCAGCTTCACCACCATGCTCTTCTGCAGGGGCGTCGAGCGACAGCAAAGGACCGACCGGCACTGCTTGGCGAGGAAGAGGAACCTGTCCTCCAGGCTTTTGTCCAGGGCATAGGCCAGGCTTCTCCCATCGATCACGAGGCTCAGGCAGGGGCCAGGGGCGATGGGCTCGGCGGGCGGGCAGAGAGGGGGGAACCCCACGCTCACGCTGCCCGCGGTCTTCTCTGGGGCGCTGCGGGGGGCCCAGGCCTGCACGTAGTGCAGACACTGGTCCAGCAGGGACGCACACGCCTCCTGAAGTGGACACAAGGGGGCAGTGCTGTCACTTGGCTCCAGTACAGACCAGGTCACCCCCCAAACACACGTGGGTTCCATGGTCTCCTGGGCGCCAGGCTGCAGGCTCTGCCCAGGTTCCCTCTGAAAACTGGGTTAGTTAAAGAGAGTGACTTCTCTGCCCTGGCCGGTGTGACTCCGTGGTTAGAGCATCAGAGGGTAGCGGGTTCGATTTCCGGTCAAGGTTCAATCCCCCGGCCCCGGTCGGGGCAAGTTCAGGAGGCAACCCATAGACGTGTCTCTCTCACGTCGATGTTTCTCTCTCTCTCCCCTTCCCTCCCTGCAACTCTCTCTAAAAATCAATGGAGAAAAAATCCTCCAGTTGAAGATGAACCAAAACCAAATAAAAAAAAAACAAAAGAGGACTTTTCACAAGAGAATGAGCGCGTCTCGTGTTTCCGTGAATGTCCACTTGGCTGCGCAGAGGCTGGAGCGGGGCTCTGCACGCTGGGAGGCCCGGCCGCTTGTGGCCACACTGCTGGCTGGGGCTGGATGGGAGGAGCCCTCCGCGGCTCTCCAAGGCCCTTAATCAGCCCGTTTCCTGTCTCCTAGTAAGGGACAGGCGACAGGGCAGAAGCCTCTTTCAAAGCCTCTGCTACGATTGGCCCCTAAAGAAATGTAATTATCAGGCCCCGGCCGGGTGGCTGTTGGATGCAGCATCGCCAAGGTAGCGGGTTCGATCCCCGGTCAGGGCACATATAAGCAGCAACCAATGATGCATAAAAAAGGGACCAACAAACTGGTCTATTTCTCTTAAAAAAAAATTTTNTTCGATCCCCGGTCAGGGCACATATAAGCAGCAACCAATGATGCATAAAAAAGGGACCAACAAACTGGTCTATTTCTCTTAAAAAAAAATAAAAAAAAATCAATAAATAAAAAGAAAAATAAATGTAATTATCACTGCTCTTCCTAAGCTCTCCAGTTGACCAGGAAAATCAAGTTTCAAAAAAAGGCATAATCGCCGGGACTTCTCATTGGCAACGCGTTGCAAAGCTGGTCTGACTTCCAGAGAGAGCGGGAGGCCTGCCGGGGAGCCTCAGGGTCAGGGGACAGGGGTGCGGGGGCCACGACTATCCAGGAGCAAACATGCTCTGTCCGTGGCACGCAAGCGGCTCCGGGGCCTCGGCGACCGCTGTCCTGCAACGCACCACGGAAATCGAGTTGTGCTCCACACACCCTCACTGGGGACCTTTCATATTTAGAAAAGCGGGCGAGACTGGAGGGAAAAAAGGCTGAGACGACGCAGCTGTTGGCCTTGGGCGGAAGGCAGGCAGCTGGACACAGACTCACAGCCTCGTGACCACGGCCAGCCACAGACCCGGATGAGCCAAAGTGTCACCAGATACAAAGAGGGAGCCGCAGAAACTCCCGACACACAGGGTTTCATCCATACACGTGACTGGATGGGGACCCTCGGTGCCCACTGGGACATCCCCAAGTAGCCCAGGCCACCCTGAGGATGTTGCTGCTGCGAGGACCTGCGGCCCTGGTCCATCCTCGTGGCCTCACGAAAAAAATTCCCATACTGTTGACGTGGACAGTTTGTCAGGAAAAAGCAGGTTGAACTTTGCGCCGATAAAGCCCATCCCTGGCTGGTGGCTCCCCTGGTTGGAGCATAGTCTCCAATACCAAAAACGCTGTGGGTTCCATCTCCAGTCGGGGTGCATGTGGGAGGCCACCGATCGACGTGTCTCTCTGACATCAATGTTTCTCTCTCTCTCTCTCTCTCAAATCAATAAAAACATTTCCTCGGGCGGGGATTGAAAAACGAAAAAAAGATCTCCCAGCTGTGCGTTCCTGCGAAACTCAGAAACCCCAGCAAATTCCACACGTTCCCGGGTGGTGACAGGCACGTACTAAGTGCCGGGAACAGAATGCAGGTGCCGAGAGAGGCCGACCGAGCACAGCGGCCGGTCTCGGCCGATGCCAGAAAACAGAAAGCTCCTGGCAGCACCTCGCTGAGCTCGGCGCGGGGCCCCCGGGCGGAGCAGGATGTCCCCGAGACGGGGCGGACGCACGCACCTGGGACTCGGCGTTGAGGGTGATGACCTCCTCATCGTGGTCCAGCAGCTTGCAGGCGTACGCAATGTTGACGGCCGTCTCCTGTTTGTCGCCCGTGAGAACCCAGATCTGCAGGCCTGCCTGGCGCAGCTTGGCAATGGTTTCGGGGACTCCCTCCTGCAGGCGGTCTTCGATCCCGGTGGCACCTGGTCAGAGGCACAAGAGTGTGGGTGAGTCCCTCCGCGTTGTCCCCGGATCCTGATGGGGCAGGAGGTCAGGCGTCAACACGTCGCCAGGTTGCGGGCGGGACCTGCAGACCGGGACCTGCTGAGGGTCCAACAGGACAGTGGGGGACACGCTCAATGGCTCTGTCCGCTCGACACGGCCCAGGGTGAGCAGGGATAGCTGCGAAGCCCTGACCCGGACGCTCTGTGCCTACAGCAAAGCGCCCGACGCTTTCAAACACGCAGCCGACTGTTACCTGTACAGGTAACTTGGAAACTGTGCCGGCCGGGAGAGGGTGGAAATGAGCTCCCCGCCGCTCTCAGCCACACTACCCGGCCGCTGTCGCAAAGGACCCCACGGGCCCCCGTTTCTTGAAAACATATCCTGGATATAGTATTCCCACAAACGTAATGAATCAGAGGCGGTTTCCCCATGTAGGTCTCAGTATATTGGGAAAAACCTACCCCCTCAGGGCTGCCTGTTTTGTCCTGTTTCCAACCTGGTGAGATGGTCTCAACCTTCCCTTCTAGCGCAGGGTCGGCCGAGGGCTCCTTCTCAGCCCTGCCCCTCTCTTTTAGGCCACGCTGTTCCCTGTGCTGGGACACCAGGGCGGACTGGCGTTCGTGTCCCTCTCAACCAGACTCGCAGGTTGAGGCCCTACACCCCCGGTGGATGGTGCTCGGGAGGTGATCGGGTCATGAGGGTGGGGCCCTCCTGATGGGATTAGTGCCCTTGTAACAGAGACACTAGAGAGACGACCTCTCTCCACCACGGGAGGGAGACACAGAAGGAAGGCAGCCCGAGTGACAGAGGAACGTGGCCTAATCGGAATTCTGAAAAACCGCAGGAATCGGGAACCCGACCCGACCCCGAGTATAAAACTCCGCTTTTACATTTTTGCCCAAGTGACAATGACAGGATCTAAGCTGGGAGGCAAAATTCCTGAGCAAAAAAATCCAGGAAGGCGAGTGGATCTCAAGTTCAGTGTGAGCCCAGGGCGGACCAGGACATGTCAACAGAGATAGAGCTTGTGGGCCGAGGGAGGTGATGGATGCCTGACCACCAGAGAGTCTTCGAAGAAGACGCCAGCCAGGCTGTAAGGGGCGGGATCAATAACACGAACCATCGCGGGGCTGCCGCTGGACCCTGTGCCAGTGCCTCTATCAGCCCTTCCCTGGAGCCCCCGCTTTCACCCTCATCATTACCCCCCACCTAGCACATGAGGAAACTGGGATGCCAAAGAGACTGAGCCACATGCCCAGGCTGGTAAGTGGCAGAGCCAGGATGGGACAACAGACTCAAAACTTCTAGGCTAAGAAAGAAGGAAAGGTGGGCGTGTCCGAAAGGCCAGGTGGAGAAGACACAGCTCGGGGACTCCGAGCCCTGTCCCCCAGCGGTTAAGGTCTCCTCCCGTGGAAAGGGGAGGAGAGTCTGTCTGCCTTGCTTTGAGGATGGGACCAGCGCCCGCTGGAAGGCGGTACCAGGAGGCAGATTTCAGTGCATTTAAGAAGACTAGGGCCCTGGCCAGTGTTGGCCTGAGCACCAAAGGGTCACAGGTTCGATCCCTGGCCTTGGTGAGGTGTGTGCGGGAGGCAATCAATCAATGTGTCTCTCTCACATCAATGTTTCTCTCTCTCTCTCTCTCTCTCTCTCTCATCAATGTTTCTCTCTCTCTCATCAATGTTTCTCTCTCTCTCACCAATCTCTCTCTCTCTCTCTCCCTCCCTCCCTTCCATTCTCTCCAAAAATCAATGGAAAAAATATTCTCAGGTGAAGATTAACAAAAACTACAAAAAAAGCATCCCTTTCTGGGGCTCAACATAGCTTCTTTTTGTTTCCTGGAGGGCAGGGGGCAGATCCTTTAAGCATCCATCGTTGAGAAGCCCAGCTTCTGTTTCTGGTGGGAAAGCAGGGGTAAGGGGAGGCATGCAAGGGTCCTGGTGGGGGACAGAAGGAACCCAGAACTGGCCAATGGAGAGGACATTCCATCGGGGCTGGTCCCACCTGGGGGTCTCACGAGCCTGGGGCCAGGAGGTTCATTAACCAAGCCCAGCGTGTGCAGAGGTGCCACTACCTAGAGCCATGTCACCTTCCCATCCAGGGACATCTCTGCAAACTCAAAACTCTACAATATTCGGAACCTAATTTACCCAAAAGTTGCAGATTCGTCTCCAGGCGAATGGCCGACTGGAAGAGGAGCTCCTCGCGGTTGTCCACAGCAGATTCCGCTTCTAGGTGGCCCTGCAGCCAGCGGGTGTACTCCTCCTGACTCAGAACCTGGGAGAGACAGAGAGACAGACAGACAGAGAGACAGAGAGAGAGAGAGACACTGCCTGCTGAGTCCCAGCTCAGGCGAGTGCGTGTGCTCGGAGCACCTGGGGACACGTGCGCCCGGTGGGCCTCCGCTCACCCTCTTGGCGATGCACAAGGTACGCAGGCCTTCCACGGCGTACAGGTTGAGATAATTCTGAGTCTTGCTGCGGATTTTTTTTTGATGTCTTCCCCTGGCATTATCTGGGTTGGAGTAGAAGCAGAAACGCGGGTGAGCCAGAGCCCAGCGGGTGCCCCGGAGCCGGTCAAGGACCTTGGGGACCGCCACCCGGTGTTCCTTTTATTTACTTGTTTATTATTTATTTATTAAAATGAAAACATTTTTTCTTTCCTTTTTTTTTTAATCTTCACCTGAGGATATTTTTTCCATTGCTTTTCAGAGAGTGGAAGGGGGAAGAGAGAGAGAGAAAGAAACATCGATGTAAAAGACACATCGATTGGTTGCCTTCCACACCCGCCCCCTGCAACCGAGGCACATGCCCTTGGCTGGAATTGAACCCAGGACCCTTCAGTCCAAGGGCTGACCCTCTAACCACTGAGCCAAATCAGCTAAGGCCAAGATGGCAACTTTTTTTTTTTTTTTTAAATATATCTTTATTGATTTCAGAGAGAGGAAAGGAGAGAGAGAGAGAGATAGAAACATCAATATGAGAGAGTCATTAATCGAGCCCGCAACCAGGGCATGTGCCCTGACCGAGAATCGAACCCCGATCGCCTGGATCCTAGGTCGATGCTCAACCGCTGAGCCACGCCCGGCCAGGCCAAGATGGCAACTTTTATGTTACATATTTTTAAAAAGATTTTTTAAAAATTGATTTTTAGAAAGAGAGGAAGGGAGAGGGAGAGAAACATCGATGGGAGAGTGAAACATCGATCGGTTGCCTACGGGGGATGGAGTCCGAAACCCAGGCATGTGTTTTGACTGGGAATCAAACCAGCAACTTCCTGATGCAAAGGATGATGCCCGACCCACTGAGCCACACTANTTGTTTTATGTGGAAGAGTCGAATTTTCATATAGCCATATTCAACCATTAGAACTCTTCTATAAAAGTATTTATCTCAGAGATTCCTTCTGGAAGTTTTTAACCAAAAAAAAAAAAAAAAAAAAAATCAGCTGTCAGCTAGTAAGAGTTCTCCAAACATCCACCCTTTTCTGTTTTCTGTGGATAAAGACAAGGAGTAGACTTGCTGGTTATTACAAAATGAAGGGCTGACGTGAGCCTGGCCCGACTGCGGGATCCCTGCAAAGGGACACACACCTCAGCTCCTCCTGCGCCAACAATTACGAGCAGGAAGGCGGAAGGCGCTCGTTTGTGCCTGAGGACAGAATGTGGTGAGTGCGTGCGTTTCGGGCCACCGAGTCCTAAGTGGCCCTCACCTTTCCGCTCTGCTCTAGCCGGTGGCATTGGGATTCTGTCGCGATTCATCAAGCAGGGATGTCACCGAACATCCTTTCGCGGGGATGTGCCCCAGCCACCTCCAGTAAGCGCCCTCAGGAAACACCTGCATCCACCCCTAGGTTCTGTCTATCTCACCACTTGTAAAGAGTACAGAGTTTTCATATAAAATTCACAGCGAAAACTGTTCCGTAAGCCCTGGCCAGTGTGGTTCGGTGGATAGAGCACCGGCGGGTGCCCTGAACGGTCTCAGGTTCGATCCTCGGTCAAGGGCACGTATCTGAGTTGCAGGTTTGACCCCCCCGCCCCTGGTGGGGGCGAATGCGGGAGGCAACCGATGGATGTGTCTGTCTCACATCGATGTTTCTCTCTCTCTCTGCCCCCCTCCCTCTCACCCTTCTAAAAATCAATGGAAAAAATATCCTCACCTGAGGATTTACAACCACCAATAAAAGAATCTCATCAAAATGTGTATTATACATATTTTTGGCTGTATCCAATACCCCCGAATGAAATGAGAACTCGTATAGACAAAAACCCCACTAATCCCGGTTGGGGGCATGCAGGAGATCAGTAGCTCTTTCATCATTGATGTTTCTCTCTCTCTCCCTCTCCCGAAAGCATGGCATGTCCTGTTCACTGAATGGAGGTCTATTCCTCCTGTTTATGAAAAATCCCGTTAATACAAAGTCCAGTTTCTATCCCCAGAATATCCCTCACATCTGTTTGCTCTGCNCTCTCTCCCTCTCCCGAAAGCATGGCATGTCCTGTTCACTGAATGGAGGTCTATTCCTCCTGTTTATGAAAAATCCCCTTAATACAAAGTCCAGTTTCTATCCCCAGACTATCCCTCACATCTGTTTGCACTGCTAGACAGAAATAAGGTGCCCAAATATTGCATAGGACACACTTTTACTAAAAATATTAGTTGTTTTTTTTGAAATTTATATTTAACTGGACACTCAAGACATTGTCTTTGCTAAATCTGGAACCCGGCCACCAGTCTCGAGGAAGGCTGTCTACTCTCCAGTCAGCCCTGTGGCATCTGGGGCCTGGGGGACCTGGGAGAAACACTCCGTCTCCCAGGCCCTGTTTACTCCACGGGGAAGACAGCGCCCTCCAGGGACCAAAGATGGTCCTTTAGGGCAACAAAATATTTTCATATAGACAGACATACATACAGTATATGAACAGATACACAGCATGTCTGTGGCATTAAAATGTCACGTGGGGGCTCTGGGCGTGTGGCTCAGTTGGTTAGAGCATGGTCCCCATATACCAAGGTTACGGGTTCAATCCCTGGTCAGTGCGCATAAAAGCAGCAACCAATGATCCATAGATAAGTGGGACAACAAATAGATCTCTCTCAAATCAATTTTTAAAATATCATGGGGTCCCGGCTGGGTGTGGCTCAGCGGATGAGCGTTGACCAAGGACCCAGGCGATCAGGGTTTGATTCCCGGTCAGGGCACATGCCCGGGTTGCGGGCTCAATCAATGACTCTGTCATCATTGATGTTTCTATCTCTGTCTCTCCCTCTCCTTTCCTCTCTCTGAAATCAATAAAGATATATTTAAAATATATATATATCTCATGGGGGACAATTAGAAACAAAAAGTCTAAAAATACTCTGTAAGGGGTCACTAATGAAAAAATAAAGAGTTGGAGAACATTGCTCTAGGTTACATTACTTTAGGGAGAGGGAGAGAGAGAGAAACATCAATGAGGAGAGTCATTGATCGGCTGCCTCCTGCTCGCCCCCTGCTGGGGATCGAGGAGCCTGCACCCCGGGCCTGTGCCCTGACCTGGAATCGAACCGCAATCTCCTGGATCCCAGGTCGATGCTCAACGGCTGAGCCAGGCCGGCCGGGGTCCTTGTCCAGATTTAAAACCCGATGCTAGGTCTCATCCCAGTGACCCCCAACTCCTCTGTTCCAAGGTGACTCCTCACTGACGCCCCACCCCGCCCCCTCGCATTCCCGCCACAACCCCACCGAGGAGGACGCGGGGAGGCCCATCTACGGGCACTGCTCTAAGGAAGCACAAATGAAAACTGCTTCACCCACGGGAGGGGGCTGGGAGGGCTGATTTCTGGGGACTGGCGCCCGGAGCCGGGGATGCACCATTGCCCCGGGAGGGGGCGCGAACCTGAGGAGCAGGGCAGCAGCAGGTCCATGACCACCGAGTCGGCGCCCTTGGTGTAGACGCTGATCTCGTCGGTGAGCGGGTGCCGGATCACCACCGACATCCTCTTGCGGACGGAGTCGAAGCCCAGCGTGTGCAGCAGCTGGAAGGTGAGCCTGCCCAGGTGGGGCAGCTCCACCGCCACCTGGTCGGGCAGCCGCTCCACCAGGGCGCAGCTGTAGGCGCGGGCGGCGTAGACGAGCGCGGCCTCGTCGGGGCTCTCGGCCT